AAACCTAGATCCAAGCATTATGGTTTGTATGAGCACATAGGATGTCTTATGACCAAAACCCAACAATTAGGAGTGAAAATACCATAAGGTATGCTTTCAGCAAAGGTAACGTTTTGAGAAATTATAATTTTCTTAGAGGTGAGGTTGTAACACCAGTAACCCCAATGTTGAAAAGGATAACCAGGAAATATGCATGGAGTCGTACGAGGGGAAAGTTTGTGAGTTAAATTAAGATGAGGGTAGCAAAGGCACCCAAAAACTCTAAGGTGAGAGTATGTATGGTTTTTACCAAAAATATTGATGTATGGTGTGTCATTGTTTATAGAAGAGGAGGGTAGGATATTGAGAAGGTGAAATGACATATGTAAGGGTTCGAGCCAAAATGTAGGTGGAAGATGAGAATGAAAAAGAATTGTCTAGATAGTGTTGTTGGTAGTTCGCAACATACGTTCGTATTTACCATTTGAGATGTGTACGGGCAAGAAAAACGAATGGAAATTTCATTAGTGTCACGCAAGTCATGAAAGGCATCGTTGTTAAAGTTTCCTCATTGTCACACTGAAATGCCTTAATTTCACGATTAAACTGAGTTCGAACATGAGCATGAAAATGAAGGGATTTAGCAAACATGGCTTTCATGAATTATGTGACTCTAATTGAATCTCCATTTGTTTTTCTTGCTTGTACATATCTCAACAAAATGGTAAATATGAATTTATGTTCCGAACTATCAACAACAGTATTCACACATTGCTTTTTCATTATCATCTTCCACCCATGTTTTGTGTAGAAGCCTTACATATGTCATGTCACCTTCTCAAGATCCTATCATCCTCTACTATAAACAATGACACACCATACTTCAAGCTTTTTGGTAAACACCCCACATACTCCCACCTTAGAGTTTTCCGGTGTTACGACCTCTCCTCCAACATAACTATATAAAACATATATACTAACAAATTCTTTTACTAGGGTGACCTTTGTCATTTGTCAGTACTCATCAACTAAGATGTTAAGAGCACTACAAAAAACCTACACTAGCATTTTTTTAGTTTTGGACATCTTGGCTAGAGTTGGGTTAGTTACTTCCTCAACTAACATGGTAGTTGTTTCCTTAATATTTATGCATAACATTTATCTAGACCTACCGATGCCATTTAGTGCTCTCCATATTTCTATTTCTCATCAACTAAGTTGCCTAATTTAATAAAGAATGAAAGAAATCACCCCATTTCGTCTCAATATATATATATATATATATATATATATATATATATATATATATATATCACTTAAATTCTTTTGATAACATCCTTAATAGTTAATACACCTTATGTTTCTCATGTCCCTATTCTTTCTTTCTAGAATTTTGAAGATTGTAAGTTATGTTTTCCCTCATACATATCAAATATCCTTGCACATCTTGTAATATGCCCTTGCCTTTAATTTAGCCACTCCTTTCCACTCCTTGCATTTTCGCATTCCCATACGTATCAACAAAACTCCATAAAACAAGTTTGTTTTACATTAAACTTATCTACGATCTCCTTGCTCCGTACTCATGATTTTATATGCAATTTGAGCTTTTCTATTGATATTTCAATTATATTTTTGTAAGATCATGTATTTCATCTTTTACACAACCTTTAGATATTACATGAATGACCAACTCTAGATCTAGCTTCTAAAACAACCCTATTACTTAAAGCCTTGAGAGCCACCCTTTTAAGTTGAGAGAGAGAGAGAGCCACCCTTTTAAGTATAGAAAGAAAGAGAGAGAGAGAGAGAGATGTTAACTTTTAGAGATTGTAATATCTTTTTGGAAGAGACATACATATGCATATTAGAGGTGATAAAAATTGAACTGCAAAAAAAAAAAAAAAAAAAAAAAAAAAAAAAAAAAAAAAAAACCTGAAGCAAGAAACGAAAATCGATGGTATTTTATTTATTTATTTATTAAAAACTTTTTTTTTGTGGTAAGGTTTGTACTAATGGAATAACCGCAAAAATTCATACCACACTATATAGTGAATTTGGTGTTTTAAAATGTTAATTGTTAATTACTTAATTTAATAGTTTGGCGGTGTTTTAAAATATATTTTGGTGATGTTTTAGCTTTTAAAATAAGTTATTGGAATTTAGCGTTTTAAGATATTAACTATTAAGTACTTAAGTTATTGGTTTGGTAATGTTTTAAGTTATTGTCTTATTGTTTTTTAATGAATTATATTATTTTTGGTCACTTAACTTTTGATTTTTTTTTGTTAATTTGATCATTTAACTCATTTTAAGTTTTAAAAGGTCACTAAATTTTTGGTTTTGTGCTTATTTAGTAACAATTTTTGGTTTGATCATTTAACTTTTGGTTTTGTGTTCATTTAGTCACCTAATTTTAAATTGTGCTCATTTAATTGTTAAAAGTATGCTCATTTTTATAACCTTATTTTAAAATTTAGGTGACTAAATGATCACAAAGCCAAAAGTTAAGTGACCAAACCAAAAGTTAGGCGACTAAATGAACACAAAGCCAAAAGTGGTATTTGTATCGAAAAACCAAAAATGCATGTTGTATAAAGCACATCATTACAGGGCGTAGCTCGGGAAGATCAAAATTAGGCGCGATGGAGTTGGGGGGGGGGGGATTACTCCTCCAAGAGTGGTATGAGTATCACTCATTTGCTTCGTTAAGTGGGTTCCTCAACCAGCTTTTTACATTTCTCTACTCCTCTCTCTCTCTCTCTCCATGTGCTTTAAGACTTATACCTTATATTGTTTTGTATTTTTTTGAATTAAATGGGTTGGAAAATATGTTACTTTTATATTTTATGGCTTGGAAAATATGGAAGAAGCAGGAGAGAAAAAAAAACTGACATGGAACTGATATTGCTTGATTGAATAGATTGGGAGGAAACATTCACTCCATCTCAAGTTTGTTTTTGAAAAAATGGTATATAGGTGAGGGTGGTAGGCATAACAAAGACTCTCCACATCATTTTTGACATATTCTATATCATCTTGCCATATATGAGAGAGTGGTGCACCGTTACAATAAAAAAGGAAAAATAAATAAATAAATTGAAAGAAAGAGAAAAAAAGAGAAAGGTTTATGTCATTTTTTGTCACTTAACTTTTGGTTTTGTGTTCATTTTGTCACTTAACTTTTTTTATGTCTTAAAATATCATCAAACTTTTGGCTTTGTGTTCATTTAGTCACTTAACTTTTGACTTTTTCACATTTAATCACTTAACTTTTGGCTTTTTCACATTTAGTCACCTAACTTTTAAAATTATACTCATTTAGTTACTAAACTTTTAAATTTTTTCAAAAGTTTAGGGATTAAATGAACACAATTTTAAAAGTTAGGTGAAGAAATGAACACAAATCTAAAAGTTAAGTGACCAAAACAAAAGTTAAGTGACTAAATGAGCACAAAGTCAAAAGTTTGATAATCTTTTTAAAATTAAAAAGAGTTAAATGACTAAATGAACACAAAATCAAAAGTTAAATGTCTAAAAATGATCTAAATACCTTCAAATTCTAATACCATTTAAATTTATAATCTTGCCATCGCATGTTGCAATGTATGGCACAACACCAAAAAACCACATATGTGCCACCTCCTCTTTTGCTATACTCATGCCACAAATACTCCTCCAAATATTATAATTTACAGTTTAATCCTAACAAACACCACAAATAATCACATCATGCTAACCCTATTCCTATCTATGTTGGTCGGTCCAAGGTTTTTCTCTCCCATACTGCACATAAGGTTCATGCCATCTGGCACAGGACCTTTTTTCCCCAGGATGGATCTAAAAAGTGGTCCCAGTTTTGCTACATATTTTCCTTTACTCCCTCTATCTTACTTTGAACTTATAATATTATATCCTCCTGTTTTATATTTTCAATTTTCATCGGAATCATTTTTATATAATAACTTAATTTATAACAAAGTACATAAAAAATATAAAATAGATTGCACCATTAACAAATCTAATGGATATGTTCAAAATGAAATCGATGTTAAACATTTTTACTCCAATTTTTATCATCAATTTTATTTTTTACTTTTATGAAAATGATAAGTATTGAACATAACTTCAGTTTTATATACACGTTTTATTTTTGTTAAATAATTTAATATAAAACAAAAATATTAAAGTAATAAATAAAATGGTAGCAAGTAAACCTAGGTTGGAGTTTCTAATTAATCACCTAAGTCCATCAAAATCTTAAGGTATACAATTTTATAAAGTTCAATGGATTATCATATCATTCATTAAATATTTATAGAACACCACTTACAATCCATTAAAAATCTATTTAATTCGAATCACCATTTATTTCTTCTATTGAATCATTTAATGATCTTTCAACTCATACGATCAACTCTACTTCATGTTATCACTCACATTTCATTCAACTTTTATTCAAACTTAATCATCATCTTATTCAAATATTATACTACTTGTATTGTGGATGCTCTAAAGAATAATAAAAGGTAGCAACATATCTAAATATTGTTTTGGTATTATAACATAATATTCTTAATTTTCCTATATACTGTTGTGTTTTCCCAAAACTCTATCTAATTATAACTAACACAAAATGCAAATATAATTATATTTTAGCAGTACTTTCAAAATATAATAATTTTAAGGAAAAAATTTAAACACACCAAACATTTTTGAAAACACTTCTTTTGAAATAAAATAAAAAACAAATGTGATAATTGTAAACTTTCATAATTCATAAATATAAACATGCTCTATTTTCTGGCTTACATATTTGCAAACCATGTTTTGCCTAGACCAAGAGTTGAAGCTCCATTGACATGTACAACATGCATTAATGGTTGTACATTATGATTGACAAACCTCCCTTAAATCTTTGCAAACCCCTTTCTACTTTAAGCCACCACCTTCTTCTCCATGTAGGTTATAAATGCTTCACACACTTGTACATCATGCATTAAAGTTGCACATTAACCCTACTAAAATAATCACACACTTTTCAAGAATTTACCAGTCCCCCTCTCTCCCCGTGACCAAAAACGCCCCATTTTTGCTTTCAAATATCAACCTCAAAGCTTTCATTTTTCTCTCCACTCTCACTAAAACCTCTCTATTTCTCTACAAATTATCAAGTGAGTTAACAAGAAGAAGAAGAGAAGAAGAAGAAGGGTTTTAATGGAGGTGAAATACATTAATGGTGTGATAATCTTCTTCACTTTCATCACTCTGTTTCTCCAACAGTTTACTGATTCCTCAACACTTGTGGTTGATGGGGTTTCTCAATGGAAGAACCCTAGTGTTCAAATTGGTGACTCCATTAGTAAGTTTCAAGATCTTCAAGAACCCCATTTTTGCAATTTTTATTTCCTTTTTTTTTGTAGGATAACTCCAATTTCACCTTTCTGTTTATATCGTTTTCTTCTTCTAACTACTAAGTCCCATTTCCTACAAACAAAGTCTTTTTTTTTTTTTTTTTTTTTTTTTGTGGGATGAGTCCAAATTCCACTTTTCTTTTGTTTTATAAGTTCATTTTTTTTTTTTTGCAAATGTTTGCTTCTCTTTTATGGAATAGTATACCTCCAATTTCACTTTCTTTTTCTTATTTTTTTTTTTGTGAGGTTTTCGTTTTATTTAATTAATTTAATCTCAAATTTTTGGAAATTTCAGTTTTCAGGCACAAATACAACTACAGTCTATACATTTTCAAGAACAGAAGAGCCTTCAATTTGTGCAACTTCACTGAATCAACTCTTCTCACTCCTTCAGCTCCCACCTTCACTGTAATCTCTCTTTCTCTCTCACACACTTAGTGTGTGTTGTTTTTCTTGCTTAAACCATTGTATCATATGCTTTATGTGTTGTACATTCTATTCGAAGCTAGCTTCTTCCATGGGTAGCTTAAACATCTTTTTCTTTGCTTAAGCTTAATTCATTAATTAGTGTCTTAAACCATTGTACAATGTGCTTCATCTGTTGTACATTCCATAAAAGAAAAAGGTCAACTATGAACAACATTTACTTTTCTTTTTAAAAAGCAATGAATCCTTTAAATCATTGTATCATCGGCTTTATCTGTTATACATTTCGCTTTTAGTAAAAGTGTCGACTTTTTTCCCCCCTCTAATTAGCTCCTTAATTTAATCCTAAATTTGACACTTTTTTATTGTTATAAACATATAATCAAATATTGATTATGTGCTTTAAATCCTGATATTCAGTTTAATGTGGCTGCAATAAATAAAATAAAATATGTTAACCTTAAAAAAAGTAATTATGATGTTTTTATTTATAAACATATCATTTTTTAGTCATTTGTAACCATTACTTGAAACAGTTAATTATTAATTTAGTAAAAAGTAAAACAGTTATATTCATGATTATGTATTCAAAGTAAACTTTAATAATTACAAAAGTATTAAATAAATAAAAAAAAAAGTTAACCCTTTTAAATAATTTATTTATTTATTTTTGTTTTGGAATGAAGTGGCATCCATCGCGTCTTGGCTCCTTCTACTTCGCCTTCAAAAACGTCTCCACAAAAGCCTGCGACGACGACCACAAGCTCGCCATTAAAGTCTACTCTTCTCACACGCCGGAAAGTTCACCGGCGCCACCACTCCCTCAACCACCGACGGCGGCACAGCCACCCTCTGGGAATATTGTATCTGCAACTCCACCGTCTACTAGCTCCGGTGGTGGTCATGGGAAAGCTGTATCCTCAACCCCACCGCCTACTAGCTCTAGCGGCGGCGGCGGCGGCGGTGGAGGTGGAGGTGGAGGGATTGTATCATCGTCTCCATCTTACCCATGGCCTAACCTTCCACAAGAACTAACATCTCCTAGCCCATCTCCGATGAATGCAATTTTTCCGACGGGTGGGCCGATGGGTGGTGGTCCAAGAAAAGGCGGCAGTTCTTTACCGTTCATCAACAGTAATCCGGCGGTGCCCTTGCCGACCGGAGAAGTGGATTCCGCCACCATACGACCGGTGCCTAGCTCTTGTGATCATAGATTATTACAGGTATTAGTGATCATTACATAATTTCTTTTTTCAGTAATGATTTAAATAATCTATTTAATGTGAAGAACATAACCATGCATGTGGGGAATAAAGTGATGATGATTATTGGAATTTTTTTGTTCTTTTTGCAGGTTGTGGGGTTTGTAAACGTTGTTAAAGCTTTTTGGTGTGTGGTTTTGTTAGTGGTGTTGCTGTGAAAATGGGTGGCAGGTTATGTATAAAGAGAAAGTGGATTGGGGTTAGGGTGGTGGGGTAGGGGGGGGGGGGGGTGCATGTGAGATTTGAATTAATATGGTGAAATTTGATGATTATTGTACCAATCTTTCTATGGATCATTTTTGGACCCTACTTTAGAATAATTGGCTACTTTGTTGTTCATATTTTAATTTTATTTCCCTTTTATTATTGTTGTTATTGTACAAAGAGTGCAATGTCATTGTATATATATTTGTCATCAAAGCTTCTATGTTCGTGATGTCAAAAGATTTCTTTAGTTCATAGGACTTGTGAATGAAAACTTATAGATCAAAATTTCCATATAAGGCAGGAATCTTGACCTTAGAAGTTAGTATTCACAAGTTAATAAATTCACACTTTTAGTTGTTTATTGGGACAACATCAATAGATTGTGGACAAAGTTTGAAGTTTTTTGGATCAATAATAAATAAGTTATGAATGCATAAAGAGTTTCAATTAGTGTATTATTCAGCTGTGTAATATTTCAAAAATAGATTACATGGCCTCATAATAGTTGGAACCTGGCATATATTGAAGAATTTCACAAGAGTGCTTTCCAAAGTACAAAGTTACACGACCATGTAACCGAAGGAAGGTAAAGAATCAAGCATCGACTTTGTGAGGAATTCCAATAATATGTAATTTATAAGGTATTATTACATGACTGTGTTTGCGTATTCTAGAGTTTAGGTGGGATGATTTTTGAAGAGACTTTGTTAAATCAAACACTTAGGAGCACTTAAGTTTTCATTTTGTAAGTTAAATTTGGTGATTTTCTTGCTTTAGACTTTGATTTTGGTAAGTCATGGGTGGCTATCTTTCTTTCTTATTTAAGAACTATGTTTCTAATTTCATGAGTTTTTGTTAGGTTTCAAATCTATGTATAATATTTGGTGTTTTCTTCATTATATGTATAATTGTCGACTCTTTGCACTATGGCGAATTGAATTAGGGTATGCTTATTCAAGGTATGCAATTTGTGAAATGCATACATGTTTTGTGAATTGGAATTAACAAATACTTAATTGTTGGAATCTATGTTAGTGTTAACCAAAGAATACATACTTTAATACTCCTGAGCTTGTTTTACATAAAGAGATTATTTTGGTTAAATACTTTGAAAAATGAAACATATTAAGCTTGTTAGTATTTTGGTACCCATTTATATAGAATGGAATGTTAGGTAAAAAAGAAAGGATAAATGAAAAAAAAAACATATTTGAGGAATACGTGAGAAAATAGAAACGAAAAACAAAATCAAGGCACACAAAATACATGAATTTAAGTGAGAGAGAGAGAGAGAGAGAGAGATTATTCCACACACACTTTTTTGCTACAATGTTACAGATAGGACCGTCCATTAATATATAAATGACAAGATTTGACCCAGACATCTAAAAGGCCAAACCCGACTGAAAAAGCACAAAAGAAGTCTTAAAAAAATAACCCACCCAAAAAAAATTCTGGAAGCCCAGTTGAAGCCATACACAACTTCAACTTATCAGTTGGTACCACGTTAGTAAACACATCAGCTGGATTTTTTGTACCAAGGATTTTCTTTAGATTTAAATTCTTATATGAAATGATATCGTATTTTATGTGTTTTCGTTAGACTGTGAAAAACCAAATTTTTGCGAGACGTACAACACTTTGATTGTCATAGTGGAGAACATAATCTTCTTGTTTATTCTTAGTTCGGACATAAAATTATTCAACTATATCAACTCTTTGCTTGCTTCTGCAATGGCCATTTTTTTTGCATCCTTAGTTGGGAGGGCAACACTTTTCTGAAGTCTGGACATCTAACTTACTGTTGTACCTCCGATAGTGAAAACATACCTAATAGTGCTTTTTCTCGAATCCACACATCCCCCTAAATCAGCATCATCAAATCCTTCCAAAACCACTTTCTTTCTACTGAAACATAAGACGACTTCAGAAGTACCTTTCAAGTAACGTAGTAGCCACTTGACCCCTTCCTAATGCTCTTTACTCGGATCCGACATAAATTTGCTCACAAATTCCAGTGCATGTGTAATATCCTATCTGGTGCACACCATAACATACATCAAGCTAACAACTGCTGATGTATATGGGATTTTGGTCATTTCTTTTCTGTTTTCATCTGTCTTCAGGGATTGTTTCTTGGAAAGTTTTATATGACTTCCCAAAATTGTACTTTTTGGTTTTGCATTAATCATGTGCAACTTCTCTAAAATCTTTATGATATACTTATGTTGTTAAAGCTTTAAAGTTCCAGTAACTCAATCTCTGACTATGCTCATCCTAAGAATTTGTGTGGTAGCTCCTATGTCCTTCATCTCGAACTGTTTGGAGAGCTGATGCTTTAGTCTGTTGATTTCCTGCATGTCTGATCCAAAAACGAACATATAATCAACATATAATAAAAGAATAATGTAAGACGACCTAAACTACTTCAAATAACAACAATGGCCCATCTCACATCTCTTGTACCCATTTTTCTACATGAAGCTATCGAATTTTAAATACCACTACCTTGGGGCTTGTTTCAATACATATAAACTCTTATTCAGTTTACATACCAGATTCTCCTTATTATGTACTGGGTAACCTTCTGGTTGGGACATATAAATATCTTCCATAAGGTCACCATGTAAGAATGTAGTCTTAACGTCCAACTGTTTTAGATGTAAATTTTCAACAACCACAATACTCAAGACCAGTCGAAGAGTAGTCATATTCACAACTGGTGAGAAGATTTCATTATAATCAACCTCCTCATTCTATTGGAAACCCTTTACAAATAGTTTGGATTTATACCTCTTGCTGCCATCATTTTCATCCTTGATTCTGAACACCCTTTTATTTTGCAAAGCTCTCTTTCCTGCTGGGAATTTGACCAAGGAACAGTTATGGTTCTTGTCAAGTGAATCTAATTCACCCTTTATGGATTTCTTCCATTTTATAGGTTCTTTCAGTTTCAATACCTCTAGATAAGAATTTGACGCTCCATCTCGGTTAATAATAGGTAATTAACTGATGGAGAATATTTGCTAGTGGGTTTCCGATCTTTGGTCGATCTTCTAAAATTAGGAGTTTTAACATCTGTATGATTTGGGGCTTCATTTCTAACTAATTTGGGATTTCGGTTTTTGAGTCTTTATCTTCTTCATAACTCCCACTGACTTCAGTATTTATTGTCTCTTCAGCACTCCCATTGTTTTGTGAGCCTTCACATATTTAAGGTTGTAAAACACCAGCATCTATCAATTCTTCAAACACCGCGTTATGAATTTGTTTTCTTTTGCTTGTAGATGTAGCTAGATCATCTTTATAGAGGCCATCTTCATTAAAAGTGTCATCTTTGCTCGTGATCACTTTCATGGTTTGGTTATCCCAACATCTATAGCCCTTATCATCCATCCCATACCCGATAAAGATACACTTATTAGCTGGATTCAGGTTTGTCATTTTCTGCATCTTTAACCTTGACATAAGCATTAAAACCAAATATTTTAAGGTGAGAGAGATACTTCAATTTTCTGTCAATGCTCTTCTGGAATTTTAAACCCAATAGGGACTGAGAGTCCACGATTTATAAGGTAATCGATTGTGCTTACTGTGTCTGCCTAGAACATTTTTGGCATCCCTGTATGTAACCTCATGCTTTTAGCTCTCTTGTTTAATGTTTTTTTTCATCCTCTCTGCAATACTGTTTTGCTGAGGTGTTTTTGGCACAACTTCAACATTTTGATTCAGTGTTCTGCACAGTAATCGGTAAAATCCTTACTACTGTATTCACCTCTATTATCTGAGTTTAGACATTTTATCTTTAGATTCGTTTCGTTCTCCACAATAGCTTTGAACTTTCTATAAGTATAGAAAACTTCAGATTTATTTTTCCGAAAGTAAACTCATACCTTTCTTGTAGCATCATCTATAAAGGTAACGTAATATCAGAAACTACTTGTCGATGAACTGATGTGGGACCGAACATATCAGAATGTATCAACTCAATATTCTCTAATTTTGGTGGGTGACCCATCTTTACAAAAGTAACTCTTTTCTGTTTACCAAATACACATGGTCCACATAAGTCGATTGTCACATTCTTCAGATGTGGGATCCTGCCCTTTGAAGCAAGCACCTTTATTCCATTCTCACTCATATGCCTAAGTCTTTGGTGCCATCAAGTAGACAAATTCCCATCTCCAACAGTTTCACTTGCTTTTCCTGAGGTCAACTCCACCATATATAGAGTTCCCTTCCTCTTTCCTTGAGCAATGACCAAGTTTCCTTTAATAACCTTCCATTTACCTTTTCCAATTTTCACATCATGTCCCTCTTCATCTAGCTTTCCCACTGAGATCAACACGAATGTATTTCACATCCTTCAAAATCTAGGTAGTACCCATTGAAGTTTTTAAAGCTATATCTCCAATACTAGTGATTTTTAGAATTTTACCATCTGCTAGATAAACAATATGGCTGTAAGGTTTGAATTTTCTCATAATTTCTTTGTTGTGGCAAATATGAAATGATGCTCTTGAATCCATCACCCAATACTCGACTGAATTCTCTACATAAAAAATCAGTGCATCATCGTAGTCTTCAACCACATTCATCTCCTTCTTTCCATTATTTGCAGGAGGTTTAGGGTATTTATGTCTAAAATGTCCTATTTCATTACAATTCTAACAGACGAGTTCTTATCTGCTTCTTGACTGTCCTCTCTTCCATGACTTTGATCTTTTTCTTTGGTATCCACCTATGTTTTGCTTTTTTCCCCTCTCTTCTGAATTGAGTAAACTAGTGGAACCTTCTCCTGCATTCCTTCTCCGAACATCTTCGCCAAGAATCAAATCTTTGATGCTTTGGAATGTGAGTTTCGTATATAGTTTAGTTTTGCAGCCAAAAAACCCATGCAATTTTTAGATTTAGTTTTATGTTTTTTTCACCCTTGCCACAATATAATAAATTTAGAAATAATAAATAACTTTTCATACCAATTAAACTATATACAAATGA